ATAAATTCACCCGTAACATAAATTCTTATTTTTGTCCTTATATATATATATATATATATATATATATATATATATATATATATATATATATGCATGGTACACTTTATGATCACGCGTGTATGTTTTTTATATAACATGAATTCTTGCATTTAAACATATTGTATCACGTTTATTATATGATTTCTCTATTTGTTAATTATATATGTTGAAAGATCTTCACCATGATACATATTTTATTTATATACATTTGAGATTATTTAAAATACAAATTACTTATAAATATAAATACAACATAAATTTTTTGAGGGTTAATGTATAAATTTGCCTCTATATTTTAGGTGGAAATTGAAATATTTCACCGTACTTATATTAGATTGATATTTGTTATTGTACTTTTATACTAAGGGTAAATTTATTATTATAGTTTAACTCAATATCGAATCTCACACTTTAATTTTAGCATCTATAGTGAAAGTATGTGTTGTCTTTTATAGGTAATTGATATAAATTATTTGGTTATTATTAAAAAGTAAATGTATTAATAGAAGTATTAAGAGAAATTATTTATTAGTATTTATATCATTATAAATTTACGTAGATGTGTTAGTATAAATTAGTTTTTAGTATTTAAGAGAGTGAACTGGAAATTTCGAATTTAATCACCATCGATTATGATGGTGGACGATAGTGGTAAACATCAGACTTTGGTCGGATTTTGAGATCGAGAGAAGATTTAGTTCTAGTTTTTTTTAAATGTAAAAAAGAATAAAACAAAAGTTTAAGATTAAATTAATATGTTGTGTAAAATTTAGGGGGCAAATTTAAAATTATTCTTTTTACTAATTTATTGTGTCATCAAAATAATTGAAGTATAGGGTTAACAATAAAAAAAATCTTAACTATTCTCATTTGACAATAAACATTGAAACGTTCTTATTCATATAGATCTTATACTCAAATTCGGAATTTTTAAAAATACCAACTATTTTTAAAATAATTAAAGTAGCATGATTCACATAAGTTTTCTTGGTGGTAAGCTGATAACCGAAGCAGCAGTATAAATAGATCGATATTAAAGTTTTGAGGTTGAGAAACACCAAATACTTGTAAAACGAAAACAAAAATGAATTTGATGAAAGGAGACGAGATTGATCTGGATGAGTTGCTTCAAGCACAGCCTCATGTTTGTAACTATACATTCAGATACATAAGCTCAATGTCTCTAAAGTGTGCTGTTGAACTCCAAATACCCGACATCATCCACAACCGTGGTGGCGGCCAACCCATCACTATTTCAGACCTCGCATTCGCCCTCGGCATCCACCCATCGAAACTCCAGTATCTCGACCGGCTCATGCGCATCCTAATTCATTCCGGGTTCTTTGCCGAATCCGAAACCGACGACAGACAAAAAACTTATGCCCTCACACCTGTTTCTCGTCTTCTCCGAAAGGACAATCCGATGAGTTCAAGGCCCTTCATACTCGCAATGCTTGACCCGGTTTTCCTGAAACCATGGGAATATCTCAGTGGATGGCTCCAAAACGACGACCACCCATCGGAATTCATCGCGGCTCACGGCGAGACGATGTGGGATTATGCAGGACACGAGCCGAGGCTGAACCGTTTCTTTAATGATGCGATGACCAGTGATGGTCTTGTGGCGGCGAGCGCGGTGCTTAGTAAGTACGAAGGAGTTTTCGAGGGGATGAAGTCGGTGGTGGGACGGGAACCATAACAAAAGAGCTTGCCAAGACTTTTCCGGAAATGGAATTCACGGTATTTGATCTTCCCCATGTTGTCGATGGCTTGCAAGGAAGTGAAAATTTAAGTATCTTGGAGGAAACATGCTTGAACAAGTTCCCATGGAGATATAATCATGCTAAAGGTTAGTAGTGTAGGATTTGCACCAGTTCAATCCATTTTTTTTTGCATGCAAAAAATGCCCTTACTATTTAATTGAATATTCATAGGGTAAACTACAAAGGGGACCACCAAACTATGGTCAAAATCATTTTGACCACCAACGTTTCAATTTGATCAATCCGATCACTTAACTATTTAAATATTTCAATCAAGCCACCTACCGTTAACATTTAACGGTGTACGTGATGTGGCAGTTAAATCATTTTGGTATATTTACACAATTGATCTCTGTTACTTATATATTCTTTCAATTTATCCTAATTTTAATAAATTAAAATAAATATAACCTTCAAATCAAGTGGTGCTATGTGTCATTAGTGACAAGTGTCATAACACATATCATCATTCAATCATGGGACCTCCTAGGTGATGGAGCATGCAACAAACCACTGAGACAAGATTATCATTTGATATAATTTAGACAACAAATAGTATGTATGTTATATCTTAATATATAAACACTTTAATTAAATTCATAATATCTTATATTCTTAACTTTTAAAATATATTTTATTTTTGTCTTAACTTATAAATCTATTTTATTTTAATTTTAATATAAAAATATATGTTTTTATCTTATCTTCACTTAAAAGTATATTTTATTCTTACATTAACTTAAAAATTATATTTTATTCTTATATTAACCTTTAAAAAATGATTTTAAAATATCTTAACTTAAAATATATTTTATTCTTAAGTTAAAATATCTTTTGAAATTAATATATTTTAAAAATATATTTTAAAAAGTTAAGATACTAATAAAATATATATTTAATTTAAAATAATAATAAAAGATATTTTTAAGTGAAGACAATAATAAAATATTTTTATATTAAAATAAGAATAAAATAGATTTATAAGTTAAGACAAAAATAAAATATATATTTTAAATTTAAAATAAGAATAAAATATAGTTTTAAGTGAAGATAATAATACCAAATTGAAAGAATATATAAGTAACAGAGACCATAACTGCCACATCACTTACACCGTTAAATGTTAACGAAAAGTGACTTGATTGAAGCATTTAAATAGTTGGGTGATCTGATTGATCAAATTGAAACGTTGGTGGTCAAAATAATTTTTGACCATAGTTTGGTGGTCTCCTGAGTAGTTTACCCTATTCATTATGATTTTTTTTAGTATTTTGATCATAATATTTTATTTTAGGATAATGTGTAACATTTGACTGAATATTCATTTTTATTCTAACTCTTTTTTTAAGAGCATTTTGAATCCAACGTTTCATTTTAATCCATAAAAGTCTATTTTAGAACATTGACAGTTTGTTGACTAACTGTTTATATCTAGGGATCTTTTTACCTCAAAATGAAATGTTATATGTTAAAATACTGTAAAAAATAGCTAAAATAACTATTTAAATAAATGTGAGGGATATTTTTTGTCATTATGTTTTTTTTTCTTTAAAACCTCTTGCTTCTGTTGATCATGTAACTAATTGCAGTGTATATTACATGACTGGAGTGATCAAGACTATGTAAAAATACTAGAGAGATGTAAAGAGGCAATTGAAAAGGGAGGCAAAGTGATCTTAATAGAAATGATAATGAGAAATCAGGAATTGGATGAAACAAAACTGTTCTTCGACCTGGAGATGATGGTTTGTCCAGATGGTAAGGAACAAGACGAACAACAATGGAAGAAGCTATTTTGTGATGCCGGGTTTACCCACTATAACATATATCATATTTTAGGACAAAGGTCCCTAATTGAGCTATTTCCTTAATAAATTAATTAATTTCTGGACAGTGGTTTGTATTTTGTATTTGAGGACAAAGCTCTTTATTAACTCTGGTGCAAAAGTGTTTGCTTTGCCACCCTTTGTTGTAATGATTCTCTCATGTTGTTTTCACATTCACTTTCAACCGGTTTTGTACTACTCAAATCTATATTTGCTAAACTTTCAATGAATGCACTTAACAATGTGTTTGGAATATGAATTTTAGTAAGATTTCATACTGCAGAGATACCATAGGTGCAACCATCCCAACTCAATTTTCTCTTTTCATAACGTCAAGATTCAAACATCTTACCTTGCTTTCGTTATTCGAACATCTTACCTTATTTAAGAAATGTAATACCTCATCTCACTAGACCAATTGATTTTTCAAATAACAATTTAAAGTATATTTATCAGCATGATGTAAAAACATGAGAAAATGAGCTCTGTTTAAAGGCCATAACTAGAGTTTAGACAGAGAGGCTATTGTCAGTGGAAATATGAGATACTTAGGTACTACATGAGTTTTATCTCTGCTCAAAATTTTCCCAAGGATTTGGTCTAAGTTTCAAGCTTTGGACGTGATGGGGTGTAAGAAAGCAACTGCAGACAGTGGAAAATCCTCCGGCACAACCAGAATGCATGATCAATGATGTTATTTCACAAGATCAGTAACCTAAACGGGGACAGCAGAGGAATGTGTAAAAAAATGTTTTATCCAAGGTTCTTTTGATGCCCCAAGTACAACCCAAACCTGATCACTAAGTAGATGCATGTAACCTACTACCTATGTTCCCATACTGTTTTCATCTGCAGCTTATTCCTATGAACCAAAATATTTGCATCCATTTCCCACGGAGGGCATTTCAAAATTCGGAGGCCTCCTACGGAAGCTGCTCTCAACCTGGAGTTGGGGGCAGCCTACTATCCTACCTCCCCCTTACCCCATTACATATGGAAATAAGGGTCAGCTAATAATAATAATAAGCACGGTTGCATCTTCTTAAACTTCGGTTCCAAATGAGACTAAGACCAGAGCCTTAGACCCTACTCCATGTTTCAGTTATACCACATTTAACATTAATTTAGAACACATGCCAACAAAAGCACTTGCAATTTAGACATCGCATTCAAAAAGTTCACCGTTAATGACAACACTGAGGTTGTTTTCCTAGTCGTAGAGATCCCAAAGCGGTCAGCAATTGAGGGAGAAGTATACAAAACATAATCAAGCATGATTCAAGCCCATGCTTTTCATAAATAAGGTTCTATGCCCACTTCTGGTTGCCCCTTGCTGATTTGAGCAGCCAAATCATTTACTGTTCACTCACAGCAAAGCTAATTTCAATTACATAAATGAATACTACCACTGCTAGAGTTGAGGGAATAACTCCATTTCAAATGGAACAAGAGAGGATAAACTTCTTAAAAATCATCATATATTTTCAATAACCAAATTCTTTACAACCATTGACTATCAATTGAAAAAAGGCAAAAACAACATTCTTGAACATCAATTCCTCTATTTACATCAACCTATTATTAACGAAATTTTATTTTGCTATGACAACTGAGATCCCTTTTTCATTCTCCAAAGCATTAAGGAATTGAGAATTTAAATCTTCTGTAGCTCTGAGATGTCTTTTGTTTTTTATTATGTTACACTGCCAGGATTGGTTTACAGAGCTCTGGGGCTGCTATCATCTGCAGAAGTTGCACTCATATTGCAGAAGAACGTTGTGTTAAAACATTTTGTTTCTCAAACCAACTCATGCAGAAAAGTCATTTTATCTCTTTCAAATATAAGGGAAGATTCTGATCCATGCAGGTTAGAAATGACAGCATAAACTACAGCCATTTTGACGAGTTTAACATTATATTCTTTTCCTCCACTAACAACTAAGTGCACCTTTAGATAACTCAAAGTAAGAGAAGGGATGTACCTATGTTATCTGAACTCGAGGGTGAGTTGTTATGTTTCTAACATAAGCATACTCAAAATTTTTCCAAAGTTTTCCCATAAATTTCGAAGACCATATCCATATTAGTGTCGGAAAATGTGACGGGCACTTAAAAAAAGAAACGAAAAGCCAAGGTCACACAGTGCAAAGGAACACAATCCTAACCATTACATAAGTTTCTTTTAACTAACAAACATTACGAATTTGCATAAGAAAATGTAAAATAAACATTGGCTAAACCTCTTTCATTCATGAATTGAAGATTGGCTATGGTCTTATTATTTTATTTTTGGAAATAAAGAATCCTCTTTTAATGCATCTGAAACTGTTACTGAATGACCAAAACCGGAAACCCCAAAAATAGGTAGTGTGCAATGCATAGCAAGAAATCCCCACATCATCTTAGAAATCATACAAAAAAAAAATTCTCACAATTTCCAGAATTTGAGTTCACATTACTTAAGGATTCAATCGATCATATCAACTTCATCTTAATTAACATCCTCTAAAAAACTACGTGCCTTATTAACTAAATAATACATAAATCTAATTCGAAAGAAATAAGCCCAATTTATTGGAGAAAGAATTAATTGGGATTAATCAGAAGGAAAATAAGGAAATTACCTATTGAGAATTCGAATTATGAGCATTGATGCTGTTATAATATCTGGAAAATCGACGAGGCGGCGGCTTAGATTTAGCCCTTTTTTTCTTCAGACCGAAAATTTCTTGAACCAGTGGCACGTGTACCAGAACCAACTTCCATGCCAACAACCACCCTATGATTCAGTGAATAAATTCCAAGAATAGTAAAACGATAATTATCAGCGACGAATAAAAATAGAGCGAATTGAGAGTGAGAAAGAGAGAGAGAAAGAGAGAGAAATTACAGAGTATGATGAAGGAGAGGACGAAAATGATAGCGATAACCGGACGGAATAGTAGAAAATTTAGATAATTCCAATGAGAAAGAAAATTTGACGAAGACGAAGACTCCATGGACGATAACGAAGGTAGCAGAAGCGTGAACCTCCTGAAGGAAAAGCTTTTCGTCCTTATTCCGAATCTGGGCTGGACTTCAATTTCTTGGGCTGTTCATTCTATACTAACACAAACATAGGAGAGAAAGAGAAGGATAAGTCAATTATTTGGTTTAAATATTTCCAAGATCTTTTTCCATAGGAGATTGTTGTGTTAAGTACACATTATTTATAAAATAGTCTTTCGATTAAGACATTTTTTTATTGAATCTTATAATTATTAAAAAGTTAAAAATAGTTACTCGATTTTTTATATATTATAAATTTATTATTTTTCGTTAAAAAGAATAACGATAATCTGAGTTGAACGTATAAATTATAAGTTTAGTATTTAAATTGTTATTTTTATTCCAATTTAATACTTAAATTTAATTTTATTTTCATAATTATACCTAATGTTTAATTTAAGTTTCAATTTATGACCTGTCATTATTTTTTTAAATAAGCTATTTGTTGTATATTATCCAAAGAGAGAAAAACTGCTACAAATAACAGATTACAAAGCAAAGGGGTCACCAACCAAAAACTAGGATATTCCCCAAGTAGTACAGAGTCTATTATTTATCGAGTTCAAAAAGTTTATGGATATGTTTCTAGCTTTAATACTAACTACCTCCCTTATAACCTCAACAATCTCATCAACAATAGAGATTTCCCTCTCAATTGTCGACAGTTTCTTTCCTCCCAGACACAATCTTTGTGAGCACTCCAAACAATTTTCAAGATGAAAACCAATAGAGTTTTTCCCTTCAACCGGGAGCAAGCCCAAGCCAGTTCTTGGTTTCAAGTCAACCTAAGACAGTTCTTCCAACATTACACAAACCAAGAACCTTTTCCCAAATGCTACAAGAAAAAGAGCACTAAAAAAAAGTTGACCTATGGACTCTAAAAGAGTAGCACAGATCACATAATGAGGATCAACCACAATATTCATCTTTAAAATCTATCCCTTGTACTAAGTCTATCAAGAATAGCCAACCAAACAATTACAGAGTGCCTAGGAACATGCATAGGTAACCAAATTAATTTTTGCCAAGGAACATGAAGATACTTCCTTTTAATCTCACCCCAAACCCAAATAGCATTAATCTTCTGCTCATTCGTGACTGAAGCAAGGATTGGAATAGCCTCTTCTCTTAATTTGAACATCTTCCTCAAACTCCAGTTTGCATTGATTTTGCAATCAAACAGCCAAAAATTAGCACCCCCTAAGGACATAAGTATGCACCTAGGTCACCTAAAGGGAACCCTCTCCTGCAAGCAATTTTCGCGAGATCTGACCAACTGACGCCAGACAGAATAGTGATTATCCTGTAGGCTAGTTCCGACAGACGATTCACAAGAGAAAATTCGCCCAAAAACCAGAGAAAAAAGTCTCTAGGGTTTAATAAAATATTATAAAATCAAAACAATCCCAAAAAGCAGTCCACAAGCCGGACTGTTATAGCAAAAAAATCGTCTTTATTCGAATTTTGCCAAAAATAGCAAAATCCCGAAAATCACTCTAAATTGAAATTCGAAATAAAATAAGCAATCTCCCAAAAATCCAGCCTAAATCGGATTTAAATTGACTTCCTAATTAACAATCGAAATATTACCATAAATAGTAAAAAATAACTAAATCTAGTGATTCGGAGGGGAAAACGGCAGAATTTGAGGTTGAAAAAAAGGCCACATGGAGCGTAGCTCACTGTGGAGAGCGTGCGCGTCTAAAAGAGCTTTCCGGATTGGGGTCTTATGCGCGATTCTGACACCTGTAGCCAAAGTTATGGCCAAAAGACTGAAACATACTCAAAACAACCCCAATGAGGAACATGTCACAATCAATTCCCGCCTTTGCGCTGATCTGCCAACTCATGGTATCTCAGCGCCATCAACGTGCAATCTGACAGCTCAGCATCATCTGTTTCGGATCCCCCTGCATCAGTCACCCCGGGTTGGAAAGAACTCGTCCTCGAGTTCAGAGTATGTCATCAGGATCCACAAACAATGACTCAGGTGCTTCACATTAAAGACATCAGAAGTCTTCAGTGACTGGGAAGTCGCAACCTGTAAGCATTATCATTGATCTTCTGCACGACCTCACAAGGTCCAATCTTCCGATCCTTAAGCTTATTATACTCACCAACAGGAAAACGATCACGAGTTAATACAGCCCAAACAAAATCACCAACATCAAAAAGTACCTGACGACGATGATTGTCGACCCGAGTCTTGTACTTGGTATTGCTCTCATGAATGGTCTGTTTCACCTGCTCATGGATACTCCGAAGATACTTTGCCATCTCATCTGCTTTAGGACTGAAACGTCCTATACGTGGAATAGGGGCTAAGTCCAATACCCCGGATGGGTTCTGACCATAGATAATCTCAAATGGGCTTAAACATGTGGTTCTGTTTTTTGATCTGTTGTAGGCAAATTCTGCCTGAGGCAATGCCAAATCCCACTGCTTCGGCTTCGTTCCTGCCAAACACCTTAAAAGGTTTCCCAAACTTCGGTTCACCACCTCAGTCTGGCCATCCGTCTGGGGGTGGTAGGCGCTACTGAAATTCAAATGCGTTCCCAATTTTCCCCACAGGCTCTTCTAGAAATGACTGATGAACTTAGTATCACGATCTGAAGTGATGGATCGAGGAACACCATGTAAACGCACAATCTCCTTGAAATAGAGATGGGCAATCCGGTCAGCATCCATAGTCTTCCTGCAAGCTACAAAATGAGCCATCTTGGAAAACCTGTCAACCACAACAAAGATAGAATCAGAGGCCCTTTGGGTGAGGGTAAGCCTAGTACAAAATCCATGCTGACATCGAACCAAGGAGCTTCAGGAACAGGTAAGGGAGTGTACAATCCCGCATTGGTGAGAACTCCCTTAGACCGCTGGCACACATAACAACGGTCCACATAATGGGCCACATCACTAGTCAACTTGGGCCAATAAAATTCAGAAGAGATAAGAGCCAATGTCTTATCTCGGCCAAAGTGTCCCTCATTATGGAGTTCACTTATAATTTGCCGCCTCAATGAACAATCTGGAATGCACAATTGTAATCCACGAAACAGATATCCATTATGCAAAACAAAATCATGACGGTGACCCTCAGTTACCTCCTGAAATATCCTTCCAAAGGAAGGATCAGCTGCATACATATCTGTGAACGTCTCAAATCCTGCAACTTTAGTACTCATGGTGGTGAGAAGTAAGGTACGACGGCTCAGGGCATCTGCGACGCAGTTCAAACTCCCTGCTTGGTGCCTCAGCGTAAAAGTGAATTCTTGCAAGTATGCTACCCACTTGGCATGACGTCTACTCAGCTTGTGTTGGCCATTGATGTACTTCAAGGCCTCATGATCGGTAAACAGAATAAACTCCTTCTGTACTAGGTAGTGACGCCAATGCTTCAGGGACTGAACTATGGCATAGAACTCCAGATCATAAGTGGAATAATTTTTCTTTGATCCCGATAGCTTTTCACTGAAAAAAGCAACCGGACGACCTGCCTGACTCAGAACACCACCAATGCCAACGCCAGATGCATCACAATTTACCTCGAACACTTTGTCAAAATCTGGAAGTGCCAAAACTGGAGCCTCGGTCATCTTCTGCTTGACCAGTTGAAAACTGGCCTCTGCATCCTCAGACCACTGGAAATCACGCCCCTTGAGGCACTCTGTGATAGGGGCGATCAGAGTACTGAAATTTCTAATGAATCGACGGTAAAAAGACGCCAAGCCATGGAAACTTCGGATGTCATGTAAGGTTCTTGGTCTGGGCCACTCCAAGACTGCATCTATCTTTGACTGATCTGCATGAACACCATCAGTAGACACAACAAAACCAAGAAAAGTCACAGAAGTGTGATCGAAGTGTGAAGTCCATGTCGGACTATAAACGAGGATATCATCGAAGTAAACTACAACAAATTTCCCCATAAAAGGCCGCAAGACCTGATGCATAAATCTCATGAATGTACTGGGCGCATTGGATAACCCAAAAGGCATGACCATCCACTCATACAACCCTTTGGCGTTTTAAACGCCGTCTTCCACTCATCTCCAGGCCTTATTCTGATTTGGTGGTAACCGCTCTTAAGGTCAATTTTTGAGAAGATCTTAGAACCAGATAGCTGATCCAACATATCATCTAGACGGGGAATTAGAAACCGGTACTTCACTGTAATTCTGTTGATCGCTCGGCTGTCAACACACATACGCCAAGAACCATCTTTCTTTGGCACTAACAGAGCAGGGACTGCACATGGGCTCATACTCTCTCGGATATAGCCCATCTCCAACTCTTCCACCTGTCGCTGCAACTCTTCGGCCTCCTTGGGACTGAGGCGATATGCTGGTCGATTTGGCAAACTTGACCCAGGAACAAGGTCAATTTGATGCTGAATATCCCTCATAGGTGGTAGTCCAGGAGGAAGATCCTCTGGCATCAAGTTAGAGAATTCTGCTAGCAGCCGCTGCACCTCTACTGGTAAATCTGTATCCACGTCTAATGCATTGTTCTCGCAAGGTAGCAAGGCATAGACCACGCCGCCATGCTCAATCTCATCTAAAAACTTGGACATAGAAAGCAGATTAGTATTATGGGTTACTGGGGTAGGAGTAAGTCCTTCCCGCCGGGGTGCCAACACAATCTTTTTTCCCTTGATGCTAAGGGAATATGTATTCTTCCGTCCATCATGAATGACACTACGATCATACTGCCAAGGTCGACCCAACAATATATGACACGCATCCATAGACACAACATCACACCAGGCATTATCAAAATATTTTCTACCAATTGAAAAAGACACGAGACATCGCCTATCAACTGTTACCTCACTGTCTTTATTTAGCCATGACAACTTGTATGGCTTAGGATGACGGTCCGTCTTCAACTGTAATTTCTGGACAACCTCCTCAGACACTACATTCTCACAACTGCCGCTGTCAATGATCATTTTGCAGACTTTATCTGCAACTGTGCAAGTCGTGTGGAAAATTGGTTCTCAACCAATCGTCCCCTGAATCGCCCTTGGGGGTAAGTAGACTCTTGCGAACGACCAGAGTCTCATGACCATCTCCATACAGCACATCATCAGTCTCATCATCGTCATACACGGGTTCGCCAATCTCCTCAGTCTCGTCTTCCACGTTTTCCTCAATCAACAAATTTTTGCCCTTTTGACTAGCAGGCTTCCTGCAATCAGTCGCCCTATGCCCTTGTTCACCACAACGAAAACATCTAATAGTAGGGTTAGAATTACCCTGCGGTGGCTGCTGAGCAGGACGGGACTCTTGAGGGCGAACTGGTCGACTGTTGTGATCGCTCCTGATCACTGGTCTCCTGTTTTGCTGTTTTTCAACAGCAAGTGCACGCTGGTATGCTTCCGAAACACTCCACAATGAATGAAGGCTGAGGACATCTTGCAAGGGCTGGCGTAAACCCCCCAAATATCGCGCTACCATCTGCTCCTCCGTCTCAGATAAATCGTTCCGGGCGACCAATTGGTAAAACTCCTCCGTGTAATCATCGACTGATCGCGCGCCCTGCCTCAACGCATGAAGTCGCTGAAATAAGGTTTGCGTGTAGCCGAAGGGAAGGAAGTGGCCCTTCATCTTCTTTTTCATCTTCTCCTAATCAGTGATCTTGGCTTTGCCCTGTCTTTCTCGTGAACGTCGTAATTGTTCCCACCACGCAGATGCTCTGCCCTTGAGTTTGATGGCGATCAGTTTCACTTTCACACGATCGGGGACTTCCTTATATTCAAAATACGCTCCACTTCATTAATCCAATCCACGAATCCCTCGGCCTGTAATGTACCAGAAAACTCAGGGAGATCGACCCGAAAACCGAGGTCTCCATGACGCTCCTCCCGACCACGGTGCTCCCGGAATCCTGCGCCCCGAAATCCTGTGCGATTGTGATATGGGTTTTCGAAAGTGGAATTGGTATCGTGATCAGAGGCCTCACGATCCTCGAAATCCTGCGCCGCCAGGCGCTGGGTTAATTCTGCGACTTGCCTCTGCAAATCCGCAATCATCACATCCTGAACGCTGCGATCACGGCGTTGGGCTTCCTCATTCGGAACCTGCTCACGACGACCACGACCACGACCTCCAGCCATTGAAACTGGTGAAATGTCCCAAGAAGATGTTGAAGCTCTGACACCAACTGACGCCAGACAGAATAGTGATTATCCTGTAGGCTAGTTCCGACAGACGATTCACAAGAGAAAATTCGCCCAAAAACCAGAAAAAAAGTCTCTAGGGTTTAATAAATATTATAAAATCAAACAATCCCAAAAGCAGTCCACAAGCCGGACTGTTATAGCAAAAAAATCGTCTTTATTCGAATTTTGCCAAAAATAGCAAAATCCCGAAAATCACTCTAAATTGAAATTCGAAATAAAATAAGCAATCTCCCAAAAATCCGGCCTAAATCGGATTTAAATTGACTTCCTAATTAACAATCGAAATATTACCATAAATAGTAAAAAATAACTAAATCTAGTGATTCGGAGGGGAAAACGGTAGAATTTGAGGTTGAAAAAAAGGCCACATGGAGCGTAGCTCACTATGGAGAGCGTGCGCGTCTAAAAGAGCTTTCCGGATTGGGGTCTTATGCGCGATTCTGACACCTGTAGGCAAAGTTATGGCCAAAAGACTGAAACATACTCAAAACGACCCCAATGAGGAACATGTCACAATCAATTCCCGCCTTTGCGCTGATCTGCCAACTCATGGTATCTCAGCGCCATCAACGTGCAAATCTGACAGCTCAGCATCATCTGTTTCGGATCCCCCTGCATCAATAACACAAGCTTTGTTCCAACAAAGAATGTCCTTTAAACCCAACTCTCCTTCCGACTTAAGGAGCACACAGATTGCCATCCAACTTTAGCACCGACAATACTACAATCTTGACCCTTCCAGAAAAATCTCATGCATAACTGGTTGATCCTAGTAATCAAAGCCATATGAAGAACAAGCTGTCTGCACCTGAAATTTGTAATATCAACACAGATTTAATAAGCCGAAGCTTCCATGCATAGCTCAGCAGCCTGCTTGACCAATGCCCCAGCTTCGCCTGAATCCGCTCTAATAAGGGCTGATAATCCTCTCCCTAAGTTCATGAGTTACAAGTGGTACCCCTAAGTACCTAACATGAAGGCACCCAATCTTGAAGCCAGAAACCTTTTGAATAACAGTCAAAAGAATTACAGAAACCTTAGAGAAAAACAAATCACTCTTTGCAGAGTTCAATCTGAAACCAGACATCATATAGAACTTCCACAAAATATATTGAATCCTAACAACCGAATCCAATAAACCTTGTAAAAAATCAATCAACAGGTCATTGGCAAAGCATAAGTGAGTGAGACAAATCTTATATCAATATGAAACTTAAGCTAAATCGTTAGGTATGATTTCAAAATAAATAAAGTTTTGGTAGAAAATCAGAGCAAAAGTAATATTTGAGGTACTAAACGTGTAATTTACCATTTTATTTATAACTGCAACTAATAGTTTAAACCTAGATTTATTTTTCTCACTCTTGCTCCCAGTCCCATAATGCTTTTGTAGTAGCTGCTGTTAGTGTTTCTCTGTTTGACTGTCGATTTTTAGAGTTCCAGGTATTAGGTTTCTTTCAGCTTCAGATTTGATTTTGAGTGATTATTTTCATCCTTTTTTGTATTAAATTTAATCTTTGTTTGTTTATTTATTCTGAGTTTTTGCTATTTGATTCAGTTTCTACAGAATTTTTTGATTAATTAGCTTAAGAGTTTGGGCGGAGTTATATTTTTCAAATCTTCAGCTGGAACTGGAAATCGAAATTTTAAATTGTGACCATGGAAAGGTTAATGGGTGAAGTATAACTAGCTTAAGAATTTGAGTGTAGTTCTATATTTTGAATCTTCTGGAATTGGAAATTTTGAATCTTGATCATGAAAAGCTTAGTGGGAGAAGTATAGATTCCCTAATTGATACTTAACTCATGGTTTGTGCCTAGTTGTTATACAGAGTAGTTTTAAGTTTTAATGTTGCTTATCTCAAAGAAGGAATAAATATGTGATCTTGTTTAACTATACCTGCTCTGCACGTTCTATGGTCTTTATCTTGCTGGAATATCATTATTTGTCTAAAAAATGGGGGTTTTCCCCTAAATTTTTAAATGAGGGCCAAACTAATAATTTTTTTTAATATCGAGGGTTAAATTTATTGAATTATTTTGAATTAGAATCAGATTGATATAATATATAAGTCTTCAAATTAGAACCAAATAAACGGTTGAGTGACTAAATAGGTTGTTTACCCTTTGTTATATTAATTGAAATTTTGAATTTTGTTTCAGCTAGGATTTATTTTGCATTTTGTATTGAATTTCTTTGTTTCTGCAATTTTATAACTAGGGTAATTTAGAATGGATTCCACGACTCTTCACGAGGAGATCAACTCATTCTTTGAGTCAGCTCCTCCGCTCAAAGATTCTGTTAAAATTGCCGACAAATTGAATCAATTCGTCCAGTTCGATTCTCCATCTTCAGGTACAAAATCTTGTGGCTAATCAATTCTGTATATGTATTTCCCTACTGTTTTTTATACATAATTGTATACCATTTGTAATTCTCAGAAGGAAAAGGGAGGAGGGTTGTGTGCGTGACATCAGGAGGAACTACGGTTCCTCTGGAGCAGCGGTGTGTTCGGTATATTGATAATTTTAGTTCAGGGAATAGAGGAGCGGCTTCTACAGAGTAAGTAATGTAAATAAATTCTGAATAAGTTGGAATATTTGGTTGGAGGTTGTGCTGTTTTTTAACTGATTGGATTCTTTTCTGCAGGTATTTTATTAAGGCTGGATACAAGGTCATATTTTTGTATAGGAGGTGAATTTCATTTTTGATGATTGTTTATTTATGTTTGGTTATTTTGTGGTCGTGTTTAGCAGATGTTTGTATTGATTCTTCAACTTCTGTGCATGTAGGGGAACCTGCCAGCCATATTGCAGGTCTCTTCCAGAGGATCCTTTGCTGGAATGTTTTGAGCTCGCTGATGATTCCGATTTTCAAGGTTTGTGGATCATCTTTACCTCAAATTATACATTTTTAGTGGACTTTTTCTCTTTGTTCAATACTTCGACATTGGCCATAACTTGAATGTATTATGATGGTTTGGATAGGTTATTTTCTATCATGAGGTAATAGAAATGCAGTTCTGTATTTCATGCTGTTTTTTTAAAAGATATGTTAAGAGATTGATCTGCCAACTTTTACGTGCAATATATGGTATTATGTGTTGGTATTTCCTACTGAGTTTATTCGGTTATGTCTAATATTTCAGTGCGGCAATCACATTCTGAAGCAGTGAAGGGGGCTATTAGGAACAATCATGCTGTATGGGCTGTCAATATTACTAATTAACTTCCTCTACTTTTCATCTTTGATCTAGCTTTTGGCTCTTTTAGTTCATGATTGCAAACCAAATCAACATTTTTTAACAGTTGGCTTCTTTGTGTTTTGTTGCAGGCGGTAGCTGGTGGTCTCCTTTTGAAGATACCCTTTACAACCATATTCGAGTATCTTCAGGTTGGCTTCAATAAGCTTTCATATGACTCCTTGAAGTTCATATTAATGACACAATACCAATGTTGATTTCTTTGTACCTTTGGGAACTCATAATGTGAATTTAGCGGGTGAAGCTCCATTTGTAGGTTAAATATATTCGAAACTTAGGCCTTTCCTATACCCTTTTTCGTAGGTGAGCTAACATTTTGGTTAATATAACTTTATATAAATTGTCTCTTAACTTTGCTTTTGGCAATGCATAGTGATAGCTTTAGCCTTTATTTTACGGGTTCACTAACATTTTGGTTAAAATAGCTTTAACTTAATGGTCTCTTATCTTTGCTTTTGGCAAAGCAAAATGATAACTTTGACTGGCCTCATTATGTTCGTGAATAAATGGGGCGAGAATGTCGGGCACTGTACTTCTTCAGTTCTCTTCATATTTGGTAATCATATAGTTGTCATGGTCATTAGATGATAGCCTTTATGTATACTATTTGGTATTACACCGAAATATTGAAAATTAATCCTATACAAGAGAAGATGACTTGAATGTTTTTTCATGCAAGAGAAGATGTTAAGAATGATTGCATCATCAATGAGAAGCCTCGAGCGTCATGCAATGTTTTATCTTGCTGCTGCCGTCTCTGACTTTTACGTTCCTTGGAAGAGCATGGTAATGATTCGACAAAATAAAATTATCTGCCCTTACTAGATTGAACTATATTATTTGAATAATCTTTTATGCATCTCTATTTTTCGGGAAAAAGACTGATTAATTGCACAGGCAGAGCACAAGATTCAGTCAGCATCTGGCCCTTTAGACATGCGACTTATGCAAGTCCCGAAGATGCTCTCGGTGCTGAGGACGGAATGGACTCCCATGGCTTTCTGCATATCCTTCAAGGTAAGACATGGCAGTGCGCTCACTTTATTCTCTGCTTTGGAAGCTAGGACTGATTAAACAAGTTTATTGAAACGAATGAGCTTCAGTATCACGAATAATGAACTCATCGGTTTCCTTTTTATCTGTTTATGATCAACAGCTCGAGACGGATTCAAAAATTCTCCTAGAGAAGGCCAATATGGCTCTTAAAAAGTACAAAATGCATTCAGTTGTAGCCAACGAGTTATTGACCAGGAAAGAGGAGGTCACGGTGGTCACAGAAAACGGAAATATTTCAGTTCTCCGGGATAAGACTCGACCGGGGTCTGACGTGGAGGATCCGCTGATTGAACTCCTTGTGAAGAACCACTCAACATACATCGAAGATGGTAGCACATGATGTGTAGGTAAGCAGGACTATCCCCTGATACAACATAGCACACTTTTATCCTTTGGAATTCTCCTTTATGTAGTTTTTCTTTACTGTTACAAAGCCTGTAACAAATTGTTTCAATTTCGGTCACTGTTCCTAAGTTTGTAAACGATTGTTATAACCGGACAACTGATTATCCGGCTAGTTCGTAGGAAAAAAAAAACAGGTCGGGTCACAGGGTATTCGAGATTATTTATGTATTTTTCAAATCGATTTACTTTTTAGATTGAGTTTTGATCCACCTATATAAGATTTTCGAATCTATTGAAATTTGATTTCAAAGCTAACCTTAAATTTTAAGTTTTCTTTTTTTGAGTTTTGATGTTATTAACAAGTTTATAAATAAGTTTTAACAAATCTAATCACGGATCATAAGAACTGATGATTTCTTCTACATGTTTTTAAGTTTGGTTTTTCGAAAAATTAAGAGAGTTTAATTTAGGTGTTTTGGATGATTAAGATATCTTTATATGATTAATAATAATAATGTTTAGAAAGACTCTTAACCTCTGAAAAACAGATTTTGATCATTGGATCAAGTTTTGACTAAGATGAGACGATTTTTTATTTCGAGAGAAATTTGAGTTAGATCTAAAAAAACTGTAAATTTTGAGATATTTATTTGTTGTCATTATTGAGTTGTCATAAGGAGTACAAACCAAACGATTTCGGTGGTAAAATTATTATTGTTATTCATTGAGATCTCGGGTTCGAACAGCATGAATGTCAAGGATGCGAGCATTTAATGTCAAATGATTGATAATTATCTTTAAACATATAATATTGTCATGTATTTACTCTAAATTAATAAAAAAAAGGACAAAATATGGTAATTATTTCGATAAGGATATTGTTCCTCTTGAGACCCTGTGAATATAATATATTCACTTTCTGATCTGAGATGTGGGTCCCTAAGATATGTTGGAGAGAGAATATTTTAAAATGTGATCAAGTGATTTAAGGAAAATCATGATTTTAAGACTTATCTTTGAGATTTAGACTTTAGAGTATGGTGGATGTTATACGTGGAGCATGAACTTGGACTTGGATTAATTAAATTTAGTTTGTTTAATGTTTTGTGTCTATGCATGATAATTGTTGTTAATTCTAATATAATACACGTTTAGTAGGTTATCAAGCATGTTTAGGAACTTGATATGCTAGGTGTAGACAATAATTTTTCAGTTCATTTTATTATTATTAATTATTAATTTATTATATTATTATTATTAAATAAAAAATAAATATTACAAACCCATTTTACAAGATCCCCGAGCCCATTTACAATTTGAAGCCCAACAGTGACCTAGAACTGGCCCAGACTAGATGGAAACCCTAAACCAATTTAGGGTTTCAGCTAGGGTTTTCAAACCCTAGCTCCCAGCCGCCGCTTCCAGAAGGCTCAAGCTGCCTCTCCAGCTTCCAGACGCTGCTGCCGACGCCTCCACTGCCAGATGGTCCAACCAGTCGCTGCCGACGCTGCTTTTGCCACGCCACCTCGCCGCCGTAGATTCCAGAACACCAGATGGCAGCCCAAATCGAGCTCCATGGTGAGTCACCAGCATAGCTATGGTGACTCACCTAGACATCCCTCTCGGGACCGGTCCAAACAGAACCTCGTGGTGGCTATAAAAGCCACCATACCTGCGAAAGAAAAGAAGAACAGACAGCCACAGAGAGACAGAGAACAAAAAATAGAAAACAGAAAAAAAAACGAAAGGAAGAGATAATCACAACAAGCCAATAACCAGAAAGAAGAGGAAAATGAGCATCTTACCATCGTAGAAGCCTTTAAATCGTCTGGAACCACCGGAATCATTGTAAAACCGAAGGTAAACCTTCGATTTATTTTAGATCTAGAACGATCTAGAGCATTTTAGGACAAACGGAGGCCATATTCGGCCTTAGAAGGTCGAGATCTATGCTCTAGAGTAATTTAGGAATTCCGGTCACCGTGAGCGGTGGCCGGCGGTGGCGATCGGCGCCGGAAACGGAGGCCGGTTTTCTCTTCCGGCGAGAGAAAACGAGAGCTTCTCTCTCTAAAGAGAGAGAAGCAAAACCAGAGAAGTGAGAAAGATGGCCCTTAGGGCCGGCTTAAATGGGTATAAATACCCTCATCAAAACGACGCCGTTTTGATGAGGGTATCTGTGTAATTTCCATCATGGGTAAACCATTTCCGCAGTCACTATAGTTTGTAATCCTTACGATTTAGTCACTGAAAGTAGTTTTTGATTATTTTAATTTGGTCTTCTAATTTTATTTTATTTTAATTTAGTCCTTATCAGAATATATATATATATATATATATATAGGTAAATATCAAATTTAGTCCCTCATGGTTTATTAATTATTATTTTAATACCGATTTTATATTTTTTAATTTATTTTAATTTATTATCCGAATTTTATATAGTTTTATTTTAGTCACTAAATTAATAAAATAAGAAAATAACATGTTTAAACCTTATAATTTTGATTAATTATGAATTAGGTTTTTAATTTTAATTTTACTATAATTTAGTCACTAATTTTAAATGTTTTCATTTATTTTACTGCTTTTAAATATATCATTCTAATGGTATTTTTATTGTTTTAATTGTTTATATTTAAATATTTATTATTATTATATAGTCATAAATATATATGATAATAATAATTTATATTTTTTTAAATAAATTATTTTAATATTTTTCAATATCGAAGAAAAGGACAGTCTTAATATAACTGGATGTCCTATTCTGGTATTTTAAAATTAAATATTATTAAAAATTATTATTTAATTTTATTTAAAATCAATTTTATTAATATCAAAGAAAAGAGCTGTCTTAAGGCACCTAGAAGTTCTTTTCTAATATTTTTAAATAAATAAATAAAATATTATTTATATAATTTTGAAATAATAGGATTATAAATTAAATATATTTTTGAATTTTTAATACTAGAGACAATTTATAATTAAAAAGTACCAATTTTGGGCGTTGTAGGGGTGCTAATCCTTCCCTAAACGTAACCGACCACGAATCCCTTTTTATTATTAAAAAGAACGAATTTTTGGTTAAAACGCAGATCAGTTTATCTTTTAATTGATGTTTTCTTAAAAACTCTTTTAAAAGATATTTTTTAGGTATTCGACCTACCTGACCCAAAAGGCCGATGGCGACTCCTAAATTATTTCCAAAACCATTTATTCACATCAATTTCACCGCCAAATAAATATTTCGTGCCCGGACCAAAACCGGTTACGACAGCTTGGCGACTCTGCTGGGGACTGGTCAAACTTTTAAAAATCAATTATAAATTGTCTCTAGTATTAAAATTAAAAATTCAAAAATATTTAATTTTTTCTTTCAAATTTTTTATTTATTTATTATTTTTATAATATTTATATGTTTTATTTTATTTGCAAGTATTTTATTTCATTATTTATTTTTTTCTGTTAAGAAGTTTGAATATTTCTCCTCACACACAACACTTGCATTGCATAACATAAAGCTCTATAATTGAGCTTGTCCCTTTTAAGTGGGAGTGAAAGCGACGTCTTCGTGAGAATTTATTCTCCGTGTCAGACCTAGCAAGTAACTTTTGGGGTTCATATGCTCTATGTCTTCGTGAGAATTTATTCTCCGTGTTAGTCATAGAGAAATGTATCCCCTCGAATTGAACTCGGTCCGTTTAAGTCTGTAATGGACTAGGATTGAGGGTTGACAGCCCAAGGGGGCACTAACAAGGATAATTCGAGTACCTTACTCCTAGAACTAAAACCCTACATGTAATAATACTTAGAACTCCTCCTGATCTAAGACAGTACTGAACCTCTGTTCTTAGGTATACACAAAGGAGAAATAAAGCTTTAGCTTTTATTTTATTATTTTATGAATAAATGCCTGCGAATTAAAAATCATGCGGTTAGGTTAATTTTTCCAAACAAAGCATGGAACTAGAAAGCATGAGGTTAGGATTTATTATATACCATGATAAATAAATTTTTCTTTCAATTATTTGGTATTAACCATTTTATTTTTTCTTATTTTCCCATGTATGTTATTTTTGCTCTAATTTGTTTAAATTATTTTCTTTTGTTTGCATTACATGATCATGACCAAAAGGTGTTAACTGAAAAGACTGCTCATCAAATTAGAAAGAAATCATAAATGAACAAAAAGTTCTATGATCAAACAAAATATGATGCGGCCAAGAAAAGACACCCTGAGGGAACTTTGAAGATAGAGAAGAGCTATTCACCCAAAGATTGTATGCCCATTGAAGAGCAAAAGGAAATACGAGAAATAAGAGAGCAGATGACCAAGATGATGGATAGAATATCTGTTTTGGCCAAAGGAAAAGAGATTCCAGCACAGAAAGAGAGAGAGCTCAATGAATCTAACTCTGCAGTTTCAGATACGCAAGGGATTTTGATTCCTAACCAATTAGAGAAATTACAGACAGTCATCATTCGTATTCACAAATCGTATGGAGATACCAAAGAAATGGTGACGACTGTACAAGCTCCCAGAGAAGAGAAGAAATCATGTAATCAGAAATCATCAAAGTTTGGTCTGCTCCCGACGTCTAAAACTCATGTTCAATCCAAAACAAAAGGTGTTTCTCATGTTGATGCTGTACCTATATCATATAAAGATTTGTATGAAAAGTTACTTGAAGCACGAGAAATAGCTCCATATTACATAAAACCGTTCCAACCTCCGTATCCAAATTGGTATGACATCAACGTTCATTGCGAATATCATACCGGAGCTCAAGGACATACTATCGAAAATTGTCTTGCCTTCAAACACCGAGTCCAAAGTCTTTTGGATCATGGAACCTTAAAATTTATGGTAAATGATCGACCTGGTTTGGTAACCAAGGGTCCTGATAGATTAATACCAAAAATCTTCAAAGGTAAGAATATCAGTAGGGGCACCCAGAGAGAAAAGATTTGCTGAGGTGTGAAGCTCAAATACGTCATTTGAAGATTGAAAACAATAAATTGTGCACCAAAATGGAAACCATACATGAAGACTTCCAGAAGGTCAGTCAAGCTTTTCAAAATGCTGGAATAGGAAACACCCCAGAAGAGTGGATATCAGGGGTCACTAAACTGAAAAAGAGTTGCAGCATACATGAAGATCTTCTCCAAAAACTTTTTGAACACAAATGTTCTCTCGCAAAGGAAAATGATCAACTCCAAGAATTAACATAGGTGATGAAAGAACCCCAGAATGTCATGAAAGAAGCTGCAGT